GTTCTTATTTCAGGTGAAAGATTTGCTCTAATGATTTCTTATTGTTGCTTAGTTTTCAGTTCATATTGTTGCTCAGTTTATTATACTAGTAAATTGATAAGTTATTTATTCAAAGACAATGATGTGGGCATTCAAATTAGACAGTAGACAACATTGTATCTACAATGTATTGGGGCGGCTGTATAACTTGCAAATTGCCTAAGTTTTGAGCCAAAAACCAATAAATTTAAAATTGTCTCGTGCGATACTTATGGAATCATTTCATTACATTTTCATTGCGGAAACTACAAATGTTACAACGAAGAGAAACATGAAAAAAATCACAAGAACTAGTGCTCCAATTTTCCGTATTAATACTTCTTACTTTGCTTCTTTCAATTGTTTCCTCATCTGCCTCATGGCAGATTTATTCAAATCTCCAACAATGATTTCATCATTGTGAGTTGAATGTTTGTTGAATTCAAGTTCTTATCGAGCCCATGCAAAAAATTTGCATCGTCTATTTGGATAATAAGGGCAACCCCATAATATTTTCCTTGATTCTTCCCTCTTAGGCAAAGCTTCAATGGAATATTGGTGTTGCAAAAGCATTTCACTTCATAATCTTCCATCGCATCATCTTTTATCATTGTTTGAGTGATGCAATGTTTCCTGAAAAAGTGTGATATTCTAGATACTACAATATTTGACTAGTATCTTGTATGAGCAATATATTTATAACAATATATGACCATCGACTGTATTTGGCCGTTGGAGGTGGGATTTTTTTCATGTCATATAGGTATGGTTACCACCCACAACGGCTACAAAAAATAGTCTTTAGTGCAAGGTTATCTCACCATAATCGTTACAATCAATTTTTTCAATGTTGTTTCACAACCAACCAAACAGAAGAAACTCATGAACTATAATGCATAACCACTTGATTTCCCATATTTAAAAATTCATCTAAACAACAGGGAAGTGTGGAAATTGATTTCAACCCTTGTTTTATATGTGTCACAAATAATAAAAGCTCATATCTAAGAAATCTATAGAAAACACTAAAAAGAGGTTTTTAACATGGAAAGGGATTTCCCACAATTGTGAGAAACCAACCAAACAGATTCGAAGGTAAAATAAGTACGTGTACATCAAAAATTTTGATTTTCATGGGCTATAACTTACAATTTTTTATCAATTTTTTTCATCTCAATCAAATGATAATTAAATAAGTATAGTTCATGGGTGATTTTTGTCAAATTTCATTCATTTCGACTAAATGACAATTAAGTATATGCATAGTTCAAAATTCATGATTTTTATAGACTATGAATGATGGTTTTTCTCAAATTTCGTTCAATTCAACCAAATGGTGCATAGTTCAAACTCATGATTTTTAATGGCTATAACCTTGATATTTTTTGCAATTTGCTCTTCTTTCTCTCAAATGGAAATTAAGTACGAGTGTATACAAATTTACAATTTTTTATTGGTTATAACTCACTATTTTAATCAATTTTCATTCATCGACAAAATGACAATTAAATAAATATAGTTCACAATTCATGATTTTCACAGGCTACATTCCACGATTTTTGTAATTTTTCTTCCTTTCGACCAAATGGACACTATGCGTACAAAAAGATTTGTGGATTTCATGGGCTATAACACACGAATTTTGTCCAATTTCATTCATTTCAACGAAATGGCAATTCAGTATGCACAATTCAGAATTCATGAAATTTATGGGCTACTACCCACAATTTTTACAACTTGTGCTCATTTCCACAAAATGGAAAGTAGCTGCAAGTACATAAAAATTTACGATTTTCAAGGATTATAACTCAAAATTTAGTCAATTTCTATTCATTTCAACCAATTGGCAATTAAATACGCATCATTCAAAATTCATGGTTTTCATGGGCTATACCGATGAATTTTGCAATTTTCGTTTGTTTCGAGCAAATAGAAAATAAGTATGCGTTACATCAAAATTTGAGATTTTCATGAGCTATAACCCATAATTTGACCAAATGAAAATTAAGTATTCGTAGTTCTAAGTTCATAATTTTTATCGACTATAACCCATGATTTTTTATCAAATTTTGTTTATTTTGATTAAATGGTACTTAAGTATGCATAGTTCAAAATATATGATTTTCATGGGTTATATAGCCTACGATTTTTGCTAAAATTTGTTCATTTCGACCAAATGCCAATTAAGTACATATGGTTCAAAATTCATGGTTATCATAGGCTATATCATGATTTTTTACAATTCTTTTACCATCAAATGAAAATTAAGTATTAGCACATAAAATTTACGATTTTCATGCGTCATATACCTACAAACTAAGTATGCCTAGTTCAAAAATATATGATTTTTATGGGCTATATAACCTATGACTTTTTCCAAATTTCGTACATTTTGACCAAATGGCAATTAAGTACGCATGGTTCAGAGTTCACGAATATCATGGACTAACACAATTATTTGCAATTCATGCTTATTTCCACCAAATGAAAATTAAGTCCGTGTACATAAAATTTACGATTTCCGTGTGTTATATACCTACAATTTTAGTCAATTTTCCTTCACTTCGACCAAATGACAACCATGTACATGTAGTTCAAAATTCATGATTCACATGGCCTATAAGGCTATAACCTGTGATTTTTGTAGTTCTTTGTTCGTTTCGACCAAATGGACAAAAATGTGTACACCAAAGTTTGCAATTTTAATGGGCTATAAGACACTATTTTTTTCAAATTTCTTCATTTCAACCAAATGGTAATTAAGTATGCATAAGTCAAAATTCATGATTTTCTGGGCTATAATCCATAATTTTTACAATTCTTGTTTGTTTTGACTGAATGGAAATTAAGTATGTGCATATAAAACTTCGCAATTTTAATGAGTTATAACCTACAATTTTTGTCAATTTTCGTTCATTTCAACCAAATGACAATTAAATACACATAGTTCAAAATTCATGACTTCATGGGCTTAAATAGTCTATAATCCCCATTTTTTGCAATTTTTGTTTATTTTGATAGAACAAAAATAAATGTGTACATCAAAATTTGTGATTTTCATGGACTATAACCGACAATATTTATCTAATTTTGTTCGGTTTGACCAAATGGCGACTAACTATGCATAGTTCAAAATTCATGGCTTTTATGGGCTATATAATCCACAATTTTACAGTTTTTATTCATTTGGACCAATTGGAAATTAAGTATATGAACATCAAAATTAGTGATTTTCATGTGTTATAACTCACGACTTCTAGCAAATTTTGTTCATTTCGACCATATGGCAAGTACACATAGTTTAGAATTTTCATGATTTTCATAGGGTATATAACCCATTTTTTTTGTCAATTTTCATTTATTTCGGCCAAGTGAAAATTAAGTATACATAGTTTAAAATTCACGATTCATGAGCTATAAGCCAGAATTTTTGCAATTTTTATTCATTTCGACTAATTGGAAATTAAATATATAAACATAAGAATTAATGATTTTATTAGGCTGTAACCCTCAAGTTTTGTCAAATTTAGTTCATTTCGACCAAATGACAATTAATTATGCATAGTTCATAATTCATGCTCTTCATAGACTATACCCACGATGTTTGCAATTTGTGTTGGTTTCACCAAATGGAAAATAAGTATACATACATAAAAATTTATGATTTTCATGGGCTACCTATGATTTTTGCAATTTTTTTTAGTTTCAACCAAATTGGAAGAATGTGTACATTAAATATTGAATTCATAAGCTGCAACTTCCCTTTGAGTTAGATATCAAATTAAGTAAGTACAAGTGCAAACAGATCAGAAGTTGAATTCACACATTGCAACTTTCCTATAGCTAGATATAAACATAAATTCTCTACCAATTACACATTCGTATACAAGATCACTGGTGGGTTTTGTCGTTTCTCTTTTTTAATTTGTTATAATATAATATGATGTTAAATAAAAACAAAATAAAAATTAACCAAATTAAAAGTAGAATGAACTGCCAAAAATGCCATAAAACAGAAAAAATTGGCTGCTCACAACCCACTCATGCTCTCAATATTTACTCAACCTTAGTACTCCAATTGGCATTTCATATTAAGCACAAGACTAGAGCATACTTCTCACAATTGCAATCCTCCCTTCATTAAGATCTAACTATTTCCATATAATACTTGCTTGTTTGCTAATCACATGATGTGCATACCCATTTCTTCTCTTTCCTATATAGCAAAAATCCCTTCCCCTATCTAAGCAGATCATTTGCTGTAATATGAAATCCAGTGAGTTACCACTTGCTTTATTTGGTCAATGGATGTGTCAATTATAAGGAGATTGAGTCTTCAACAATTTCAGTTATCTTCACAACTGATTGGATCATTAAAACTTAAGACATGCCATACACATGCCTAGAGCTGGTATTTAAAAATTTTCAGTAACCACGCTGCCACATATAATAAGATTGCTTAGGTAACAAATTTGAAGCTTTGCATAACATGAAATCTACACTATATGCACTGACATTATACTTGTGCATGTAGAGGTCAGGGGTAAGGGTCTGCCACCAGATGACCCACATTACAGTACCAAAACTATGAACACTAGAGATTAGTGCAGTTAGCATCTAAAAATATAAGCTCTGTGGTTACAATGTTCAAATTATTGCTTTACCTAAGCTCTCTGCGTGGCAACCTAAATCATGGGTCCAAGTAAGAAAGTTACATCATTAAACTATTGATGAGTTTCAGAAAATATTGTTCTTTAGAAAGAACATGTGAAGCCACTAGAATTTAACTATATCTAATGTGCTGTTGCACCCCACAGCATTTGAAGTATTAACTTAATACGGCCAACTTTATTACTTTCAACATCACCAAGTCTTGAAAAGAGGACTAGGTAGACGTTTCATAAAATACCTTAAGCCAAATAAATCAAATAACAGAGTAAAGAGAAAATTTATACAAATTGGATAAATAGAATCATACATACTGCTTTTTCGATAGTGGGGAAATGTTGCATTCTGTTTGATAGAATTTTCTGCATATGGATTAATGATGCCAAGGCTGTTCCCTGTTTGTGTGATCATCAACCCAAAGAAATAGCAGTCAGCAAGGATTAAATATCAGTATTGTATCAACTTTCAAGTTGTGAAGCAGACCTCAACAACATCAACAACAACAAGGCCAGCCACGCTGCGCACGACTTTCCTTGCAGCTACATGCACAGCCACAGAACCACCCATACTGCAGAATGCATGACAAAGGGGAAAAAAGATAGATTGTATTATTAGCTGAGCTCATATATACTCAAGTATTTCCGAACTTGTATAATGAAATGTTCAATCTGGTAAAAAATGCATTTACTATACAGTGCAGGGTGATTAAATTTTCTGTTCTGTGGATATTACCCTATGTCTCCTTAGTAGAGGGCTAAAAATTAGCTAATTTTAAGGTGCTGTCTAACTGACAACTGAATTCATTAGGTTTTGGATCTTATGAAAGCTGCGTTCAGTGATCAAAGTTCATGAGATTTAAAATACGGACTAGCTTTAAAAAGAGGGACATGAAGTGGACTTTATTGACAAGCAAACAATGGATAGAGACAGTATTTGAAGACTTATCAGCTTCCCTTGGTCAATGAGGCTTTTGCATCATTATCGAAGTTTTGGGGACCAGCAATAGAAGATTATCCTTACATTTGTTATCATCATCTTATCCCAGTTGATTTCCTTACAACCTTATTAACAAACCATAAAGTCTACTTTCAACTTTTTCTAACTTTTCTCTCCATGAAGGATAGCAATGCAAGAAAGGGCAACTTCAAGTATTAACAGGTCTGAACATGTAAGATCTCAAATATTGAGACAGTTAAGCAGCATTCAACACTCGAACTATAAGTATGAAGTGCATATGTACTTTCCACAAAAATCACTTGCTATAATACATGTTCACAAGGCACAGATGTTCTGTGAATTACTTAACATGACGGATATAATAAGTAGGAATCCCAGAGGAAAAAAACCTGTGTCCAACTAGTATAATTGCAGGTGGAGAGTCTCCGTACATTGCCTTCAGAACAGCCAAAACATCATTGCATAGAGTCTGCAAGTTACTAAAATTGGTTATATTTTCCTTTAATAGAAAAACTATTCGCTTTGACAATAAGTGATACAGAAAATAGCTTAAATTAAACATGAATAGTTAAAGAAATATTAGATGAAAGGAAGCTCATACATCAATAGATAAGTCCACATCATTATCGGTGGATGACTTTCCATGACATTAGATGAAAGGAAGCTCATACATCAATAGATAAGTCCACATCATTATCGGTGGATGACTTTCCATGACCTCTCAGATCCATAGCTACAACCCGAGCCCGATAAGTCCACATCATTATCGGTGGATGACTTTCCATGACCTCTCAGATCCATAGCTACAACCCGAGCCCTTTCTTTGATTTTTCTTGTAGTTAATGCAAAGGAAAGCCTGACAAGATAATGAGTATCTTTAGAGTTAATAAACATCGTAACGTAAGCATAATCTTCTGTTCATTTCCAATTAAGCATAAGCATAGTATCTTACATATCTCAGATCCATAGCAGATACCACTTACTATACAAGCAATGCTTATTTGCCTTCCAACAAAAAATCAAATCTTTGACTGGACTGCTATTTTATGTGAAATGATTAACGACAATCAATCAAGAACAGAAATGGAAAAAAATTGAGAGATGGCTTTTTATTTTATTTAAAGTACTTTGATAATGTGATCATATGACCCAGTTATTGTCGCACGACAAGGCAAAGTCAAAGCATTTATGCCAAAAGTCAGCTATATGAATCACTTTTCTCCATTCACCTCAACTAAGAGCCATTAAGTTTGTTATATTAACAGCTACCATATCCTTTTTAGATATTGTGATTCACATCAATTTAGTCTACCTCTAGTTCTCCTCTTAACTGGTGCACTTATTGTTCTTCAAATGTATGAAGCAACCGTCTTGATTGGTTCTCCCTACTATGTACTCAATGAATCTACCACCATGAACTTCTTAAAAATGTGCTTCCTTGTTCGATATTTTAGCATATTGACACTACCCATTTTACCATTCTCGTTTCAATTTCACTTTTTTTTCTTTTCATATTTTTTCTTCATCACGCAACATCCACCCAGAAATAGTTAGTCATATAACTATGGGTGTAAACAGAGAATTCTTCTCGTGAATACAAATATGAATATGGGTATTATCCAAATGCTAAACTCTGTATCCATATTTACTTGAAGACGAACCAGGAGTCAAATTGGATATGGATATTAATTGAATATATTAAGGATTAGAGTTTCTGGTTTAATACAAATACGAATAGTCGAATACAAATATGGTTATACTATTATTATTATTGGCAAGAAAATGAAACAAAATATCAAACACCCACCTACCTGTAAATCATAATGAACAAAATATTTGATATCTTAGAAGAGTGTATTAAAATCACCATTCAACATGATTAAACCATTTTACAGTATAATAACATATGAAGCCCTCAGCGACGACCGTGACAAGGAATCATCATCTGTATATGCACAAAACTACATGTATAACACCAAAATTATAGTTTTCAACTTGCAAAACCTAATGATTATTCCATGACCACATTCACGTACCCTGAGTAACCACCTCCGTGTAGACAAAAAACAACAGGCCCTTCAGATCCAGCCAAGTAAACATGAAACACCTAAAATCCAATATAAATGACGTTTAACCCTAAAATCAAGTAACTAAATTAAAAAAACAAAAAAAAAATGCTCACATTATTCGATTCGGGAATTTTGATATCTTCTTCCTTATCAAAATATCCAGCCCAATCCAAAGGCGAGTACTTTTCTCGTAAATTCCTGCGAATATGAACTACTAATTACAGTAAAAATATTTTTAAAAAAAACATTTCCCCCCCCGGAAAGATTGAAGGATCGAGATTTTACTGAGGATCGGGGCGGGGAGGGATTGAGGACTGATCAAAAGCGGAAGAAGGAGCCGCTTCTTCTTCTTCAGAGATTTCTTCTGGTAGAGATGAGAGATCGTTGGGGTCCATTGAAGAGGTTTTTGGATTGTTGCTTTTCGATCGACGAATCGGAGATTTTTGGGATGAGACGCGATGATCGATGCCGGTCGCGATGAAAAATACAAGACTTTGCAAGTTGAAGTGGTGATTATGTCTTTGTGAGTTGCAGAAAACCCCCTGACTTCTTAGGAATTTGTGAGTTTTGATATATTTTCGGTTTGCCTGTCGCACTCACAGCAAAATGTAAATTTGCATTTGGACAGTGCTTAGAGGGGAAAAAGAAAAAGAGGAAATTGCTCCGCGGTGAAACTTTCCCGACGTTCGTGCATGAGGCGAAGAAAACTCCGATCATGAAGGCGGTGATGACAAGTTGCATCGCCAACCCCCTTAAGTTTACATATTGTTGTACTTTAAAAAAAATCGATGACTTGAGATTAAATATAAATTTATATATTCTTGTTATTTCACTATAATTAGTTTATTGTTAAGCTTATGAGTTGGCGGTGAAGGAAGGTTACGTATTGGTTTTGAAGGTTACGGGCTAGTTGTGAAGGATGCGCGTTGGTTGTGAAGGTGTTATGGGTTGGTTGTGAACGATACACGTTAGTTGTGAATGTTACGCGTTGGTTGTGAATGTTACGGGTTGGTTGTGAAGGATACGCATTGGTTGTGAATGTTATGGGTTTGTTGTTAAGGTTATGGGTTGGTTGTGAATGATAAACGTTGGTTGTGAAGGTTACGGATTGGTTGTGAAGGATACGCGTTGGTTGTGAATGTTACGGGTTGATTGTTAAGGTTATGAGTTGGTTGTTAAGGATAAGTGTTAGTTGTGAAGTTAACATTCACAATCAACTCCTTACCAAGGTTCACAACCAACCTGTAACATTCACAACCTATAACCTTAACAATCAACCCGTAACATTCACAACCAACCCGTAATCTTCACAACTAACCCGTAGCCTTAACAACCAACCGGTAGCCTTTACAACCAGCATGTAACCTTCACAACCAACAAGTAGCCTTAACAATCAACCCGTAACATTCACAACCAACGCATAACCTTCACAATCAACTTGTAATATCTACAACCAACTCGTAACCTTCACAACCAACCCGTAACACATTCACAACCAACGCGTAACCTTGACAACAACATGTAACCTTGACAATCAACTCGTAACCTTAACAATCAACTCATAACCTTCACAACTAACCCGTAACCTTCACAACTAACCCGTAACCTCTACAACCAACTCGTAACATTCACAATCAACCTGTAACACATTCACAATCAACCTATAACCTTCACAACCAACCCGTAGCACCTTCACAACCAATGCGTATCATTCACAACCAACCTGTAACCTACACAACCAACACGTAACCTTCACAACCAACCTGTAACACATTCACAACCAACATGTAACCTTCACAACCAACGCGTATCATTCATAACCAACCTGTAACCTTCAAAAACAACACGTAACCTTCATTCACCACCAACTCATAAGCTTAACAATAAACTTATTATAGTGAAATAACAACAATATATAAATTTACATATTCTACTTTAATCTCAAGTCATCGATTTTAAAAAAATTATAAAAACATGTCAACTTAAGGGGGTTGGCGACACAACTCGTCATCACCGTCTTCATAATCGGAGTTTTCTTCGCCTCATGAACGAACGCCGGGAAAGTTTCACCGCCGATGTCGACGCCGTTGAAAAAAATTAGAGGGAACTAGAATTTTTTCTCCCAAATACCCATTTCAAATCATCACTGTAACATCATGAAAAAAAAAGAGAGAGAAAAGGTACTATGGTATTAACATGTTTTATACTCTTGGGTTTTGTATTTGAGGGGGGGGGGGGGGGGT